ATAGTGTACAGGAATGTGTAGATTAGGTGGGTTTATAGGGGAATGGGTCTGGGTGGGATGCTCTGTGGGTTGGTGTGGACTTGTTGGGCCGAAGGGCCTGTTTCCACACTGTAGGGATTCTATATAAAAAAAAATATGCAAACTCCACACAGACAGTCACTCAAGGCTGGGATCAAACCTGGCACTGTGAGATAGCAGTGCTAACCACTGAGCCATCATGCCACCTGCTATGAAAAAAGGGTGTGAAATATTGTATTACACTGAATGTTGAAAGAGAAAAATAATAGTTAATTAGCTTTATAGGATTATAGCATGGTGTTTTTGAATTATAAGAATGTGCGGAGTAGGAGCTGGAATAGGCTGTAAGATCACTACAGTCTGCTGCACCATTCACTATGACCCTGGCTGCTGTTTTACCTCAATACCATTTTATGCCCCTATTCCTGTATCCTTTGTTTATTGTGGTGTCCCAAATTTATTTATTTACACAGAAAAGAAAACTCAAGTAAAAACCAAAAGAACTGCGGATGCTTTAAATCAGGAAGAGAAACAGAAATTGCTGAAAAAGCTCAGCAGGTCTGACAGCATCTGTGAAGAAAAAAATCAGAGTCAATGTTTTGGGTCCGGTGACCCTTCCAAAGAAAACTCAAGTGTTGTATTTATGAAATCATATTAACCTAAATGGGCCGAATGACCTGCTCCACACTATCAGAATTCTACGATTCTATATTGTGCAACACATAGTTGAGAAATGCTGATAGATTACCCATTGACAAAACCACGTATTAAATTTAATTTTAAAAAACACAAGCAAGGTTTAATATTCCGGGAAATATCCACATTGGTTATACCAGCCTTCTTAAAAATAACAGTAGTTAAATTTGTATGCATTTACTGCTGCTTTTCACCATTTTGAATTTACTTACATTATGCATCATACACCATGCACGTTCCTATACAGTCCATGGTGTGCAGGTCACACAACCATGGAAACTATACCACTAACCCTCTTGAATAACTGACTCTATCCTGCTCCTGTTTTTCCCTTTGTGCTCCATGTATCCATTACCTGCGTGAGCAGAGTTTGATAGGCCCTGGAAATAATATAAACCATAGAATCAAGGAATCCCTACAGTTTGTAAGTAGGCCATTCATCCCATCCAGTCCACACCGACCCACTGAAGAGCATCCCACCCACACCCAACCCCACCCCCCCACCCTATAACCCTGCAATTCCCATGGCTAATCCTCCTAACCTACACATGCCTAAACACTATAGGCAATTTAGCATAGCCAATCCATCTAGCCTGCACATCACTATAATTGTTGAATATTCCAGTCTGTCATGACATTTAGTAGATGGTGGATTAATGACATGGCCAGACTATTTTTATCTCCCAGTGGTTGTAAATTGAGTATATCCAAGTCTTCTTGATCAATATTACTCTAGATATGGAACTACAGAGGTATGAATGTATCTTTGTAGAATAATTATCAGACAGTCTTCTAGCACAGACTTTGTTTTCCTATTTAAATCATGGAATGAAACATTCAAACCTGCTCATTGGCATTTTAATGATGAAATATCTTGGGAATTAGCTGTATTTTGGGCTGGCAATTTCTTAATCTGTTGCTAGGATTTCCAACACAATGATTTATATTGAGAAAGGTGCAAAGACATCCAAGTGACAAAACAGGCACAATACAAAATTCCAAACTATATAACTACCAAAGTAACACAGAAGAGTTTAGTCATTTATCCATGTGGCATTTCCATACGTCATTGCAAAAACACATTAAGATAATGCACATGTAAATTATATGTAATAACCAGTACTATTATTTTTACCTGAGTTAAATCTTATCAAGATCTTCAAAAGCAGGGAAGTAATTTACAGGTGCTGGAATGTCACCTAATCACCATTTTTAGTGGGAGCGTTCAAGGAACACAAGGTTATACCCATTATTAATATTTTTATGAGTGCTGTTTTTATACTCCATACCACAACAAACATTCTTTACAAAATGAGAGTTAAAATGGTCTACAGGAATGCCTTAGCTCTGTTAGAAAGGCCAAATTGTTCAGCTAAAAGTAACACTGCGTTGCAGAAATTTGAAATAAAATCAAAATGCACAAAATATTAATCAATCATTCTCCTTCAAACATAACTTGGCTATCTCTGTTTTTGCAGCATTGCTTTCTCCTACTTACTTCATTTTGCAATTGTGACTGAGTTTCATTTGAAACAAAACAATCCCAACACTTAAGGTTTGAGCAAATTGAAAATGAGGGAAGTCAAATGGTCAATTCATTAAACTGATGTGAAATGCTTTCATACATCACCATGGTCATTAAAGAATTGGCAGTCTTGTCTCATCATTTAATAAACTAAGCACTCTCTTGTCCCCTTGATCTGGAGTTAGAGTCTTCCAGAAAATACAGTATTTTTGTCATTTTTGTAAAATTATCAAGAGGGGAGAGTTTAAACTCTTTTGTATCCAATGATAATTCTCCGTACCTGTGGGATAATCCTTAATATGACTGTTTGAGTTTTTCAAAGAGAAACAACACCCTGTGATCCTCTGTACTAAGAACAGTGATAAAGAACAGAGGCAGGTGTTGTTTTGAAGATAGCAATGGCAAGAGTAAAAGATAGTTAGCTAGAGACAATCAGGGACACCCAAAATTGTCTTTGAGTAATATTGAGTCAAGTTAATACTGCTGAAGTGGATATGACAGAATTGGTTTTGTTTCCATCTTCCCTGAGATTTCTACCAATCCCACCCTGGAGGTAGACTAAAATATGTGCAAATACATGTCCATGACTATAAATAATAGATCAGTTAAAGAAACAAAAAAAAAATTGGCATAGGATATTTTGTGACCTCAGAATATCTTAAAAGCACTTTCTAGTCAATGAAATGACTTAGGAGTGTAGTCCTTGTTGTAATGGGGAAAGCATGGCCACCAACTTGCACACACATAGCAGAGATAATAAGCAGATTATCTATTTAAGTGATGTTGATTGAGGGATAAATATCAGCCAGAATACAACAGGGCCTCTTGTGACACAGTGGTAGTGACTGCTGTGAGTCAGGAGGCCCAGGTTCAAGTCCCACTTGCCCCGATATGTCACAATGTGTCTGAACAGGTTGATTGAAGAAATACCTGCTGGAGTCAATTTCTCTGCTCTTCTTTGGCCAGTACCAAGGGATGTTTCACATTAGTCTGAACTCAGCAATGGCTCAGTTGGTATGAACATTCTGATTAGGAGCAGAAGTAGGCCATTGGGTCCTTCAAGGACAAAGTTCTGAGTCCAAATCCCATTGGACCAGGGGTTGAGCACAGAAATCATGGCTGACACTCCAGTACAGTACTGAGAGGACACTGCCAGGCCTCTGTAGAGTGGAGGTGAAAAATCTCATGGCACTATTACGAAGAAGAGTAGGGCAGTTATCTGTAATGGCCTGGTCAATAGTAATTGCTCAGTCAACATCACAAAACAAAAACAATTACATGGTTGTTATCTCAATATTGTATGTGGGCTGTTGCTGTGCACATATTGGCTACCACCAATATTTTCTACATTACAACAGTGACTGCACCCCAGAAACTCTTCATTGCCTGAGGCCTCCAATCATTGTGCAAAGTGCTATATAAATGCAAGTTGTTATTTTTTTTCTCTAAGCATATCATTCAGAGTGATAGTCTGATAACATTAAAATGTGATTGTTGTGTGCTTTCTCTATGGTCACAAAATGTTACCGCTTCTTGCATTATCATGATTTTAGCATGACCTAAAAATAAACTCGTGGGAGGAAGGGAGTAGTTTTGAAGCTGTCATACTGCGAAAGGATGTGCAGGCTCATTCAACAGTGGTCAGGCTAATTCAGCTGAGATTGACTGCAATAGTTTACGCTGACAGGTAAAAACACTGCAGGGCTTGAGAAACCATCTGTGATAGAACTCAGAAGAATTTGAGAGAACAACTCTCCATAAAACACAGTCAGTAGTGTCAGTTTATGTTGTCAGTGAGGTGATCGAATGTGAGATCTTGCTGTCTCTTATCCTATTGTCTTGGCTCCAATAACAAAAATGTGTTTGAGGTGATGGACTGGCACGAATACAGGGCAGTGAAGCCCTCCTCTGTGTGTACTTTACATGTCTAAAAGGTAAGGGCTCTTATGGCACACTGGTAGACTCCCTACTCTGAGCTAGGAAGCCTGGGTTCAAACCCCACCTGCTCCGGAGGTTTGTAGTAATATCCCTGAACAGGTTGACTAGGAAAATATTTACAAAAGGAAAACTGCTGTTTGCAGGATTCTGAACATTGAGTTCTTTATCCAGTGGGCTGGTGGGGTTATTTGTGTGTGCGCGCACCAGAAAATGAACTTTACAATGGACCAGTTCCATTTCAATGTTATTTTGAAACTCAAGTTTTGGTTCACTTGGGTGGATTTTAAATGAAACCAACGTTAGACTGCTTCCTAGAAATCTCATTTACCAGTTTTATGGAGTCAGATGAGGGCATGTTACACAGTACTGCATTGTCACTTCCACAAAACTGAGTACAGTTATGGGTGTGTACCAAGGTGCAAGTGGCAGGAACCGCGCCTTGGATCTAGTTTGGAATTGGCCTCTTGTCTCTTATCCTAACTCACTGCTGCCCTCTAGTCTTTGATATCCACATCGGTGACAGGGATTGTAATTGGAGGTTGCAGAATGGATTGAACTGAATTAACACTGTAACCTTTTCTAAATAATTGACATATAACATAGCTTACTGACGTAGGATGTGTGGGGATAATCGGCTGCAATGTATCAAAAGGAAAGTAGCAAGGTTTCTGAAAGAAGAAAATGAGGTTAGTTGAATTCTCTGCAGAGAGATAACACAGGGACGGCAGGCCGAATGGCCTGTACTACCCTCCCAATTCTGTGATATAGCGAGGCAGCGACTTCTAACCTAGCGCCTGTCCTAACCATACTGGAGCAAGAATTTTAAGAAGTTGCCCAAATTGCTCAGAGATTAGAAAGGGGATTCGAGAGGCGAGGTGGGATTTGATTTCCCAGTCAAAAATCAGTGTTGTGTAAGAATGAAAGGACGTTTCCTGGATAAGTGTCTTGGTGGAAAAACAACAAACCCTTCAGTGTGTGTGTGTGTGTGCGCGCCACAAGAATGATCGTCATAAACTCATCCCTTTGATACAGCGCCTCAGAGGCAGAGTCTCCACCTCCTGACCCACAGCCAGTGTTGATGTGCTTGGGAACTGAGAGGCCTCGCCACAAACACACACACACATACACAGAGACAGAGACATTCTCAGACCCTCTCTCTCCTGCACACACACACACGCACACACACGCAGACAGAGACAGACACAGACTCTCTCTGTCTCACACACACACAGACAGACACAGACTCCCTCTCTCACACACACACTGTGTAGCAGAACACTCAAAGCTTCCAGCCACCGCTCCTTGGGTGCGCTGTCCTAAATCTGAGGCACTTTCACACTGCCTCAGCTTCCGTTTGTTTTCTTGGAAAACCAAAGGAAAAAAACTAAAAGAGAGAGAGAAACTTCTGCGCAAATTAGCTGTTGGAATTCAGCGGCTGGTTTACCGGCAGTCAGAGAGAGCCTGGGCTGTGAGTGAGGAATAGAAAGGGAGAGATATCTATCTCTAACCCCCTTATACACACACACACATAGACACACACAGACATACTGTGAGAAGGACAGCTTGCAGCGGTCGCTTGGCTTCGGAAGTAATCCCGGGAGTGAAGGCGGATCAAGAGGGGGAGCTCCGGGACAATATGAACGGGATGTGGAAACAGCGGCTGGGAACGGTGTCCCGGTCGCTTCTACTGACATTCATCATCACAGGTAAATCCCTCTGTCCCGGCTATAGAGAGACTGCTGCTATCAGTGTCTGTTTGTGCATGTTCGTATTGTCCGTGTCCATGTGTGTGTTTGTGTCCTTTGTCCATGTATGTCCATGTATTTGTTTGTCATGTAAATTCGAAACTCTCGTGTCCATGTGTATGTCCTGTGTACATATATGTTTGTATGTCCTGTGTACATATATATGTTAGTATGTCCTGTGTACATATAAATATGTTTGTATGTCCTATGTACATATATATGTTTGTATACCCTGTGAACATATATATGTTGGTATGTCCTGTGTACATATATATATATATGTTTGTATGTCCTATGTACATATATGCTTGTACGTCCCATGTACATATATATGTTTGTATACCCTGTGTATATATATATATGTTTGTATATCCTGTGTACATATATGTTTATATGTCCCGTGTACATATATATGTTTGTATACCCTGTGTACATTTATATATGTTTGTATATCCTGTGTACATATATATGTTTATATGTCCCGTGTACATATATATATGTTTGTATGTCCTGTGTACATGCGCGTCCGTGTGGGTTGCTACGGTACTTAGAGTCATGGAGCCACACAGCCCACACACACACACACCGTCACCTGTCCAAAACAGAAGTTGCTGGAAAAGCTCAGCAGGTCTGGCAGCATCTGTGGAGGGAAATCAGAGTTAACGTTTCGGGTCCGGTGACCCTTCCTCAGAACCTGTCAGTTGTGTGCGTGTTGCATGTATGGGACTCAATCGAGCGCATTATCCCCGGAGCCTCAGTCTCTACGGGAGGGGCAGCTGGATGGAAGTCCCCCTACCCCAACCCCCGATGGGGTTTGTAACTGCTCAAGGCCACGGAGCCAGACTATCAGGGCTTGGAGTGTGAGCTCCGAAACCCACCCAGTAGTGGGAGTTAGAGAGGAAATTGATAAGCTGGCCGTGTGTGAGAATTCTGAAAAGCAGATGGAGCCTTTTTCCAAATTAGCTTCTCTTATGTATAATTGGTTGTAGAATTAATTTAGTGCGCTGTTTCGCGTTCTCTCTGAAATTAAGGCTCTGGTTTATGTGGGTAACAAAATAGGTTCTGTGAAGTAGGACAAACTGGTATTTAAAAAGCAACAGAGGCGGTGGTTTAGAAGTGCAAGTGATGGGGTGGGTTGCTGCTTTATAAACCGCAGGATGTTTGTGAAAGCTGAGCAACACTCAGATCAGCGAGCGTAGCCCTGTTCCCCACTCCTGTATCAGAAGGAAAGAGTTCACCCAGAATAGAAACAGTCTGCAAATCACTGAAGGGCTGGGGATCGGGACAATTCTTTTTAAAAATCTCCATCTGTTTGAAATTATCGAGCGACCTTTTTTCTTTGCTCAATCCAGTAAATTAAATCAGGGCCGACCCGCAGTAGAAAGTCTGCCCGATCTGAAGATGTTCTGTCAGAGTTCTCCCAACAATCTCAGCCAAAGTAAATCGCTGGGCAATTATTATCATCAGCCCCTTCCTGATCTGTAACAACTGTAAGGGGATTTCTCTCGGAGCCTGTTAGACTGCGAAATGCTCGGCTTTCTGTTTGCAAACTTCAACCTGCTGAGGCTTAACGTTGTGGCAAATATGTCAGTCCATGTCGAGAAAAACAGACAAAAATAAACGGAACGTCTTCTTCCTGACTGGGTTTGTACTGACATTCGCAGCTTTGGCTTCTGCTAAAGCGGTTTGTTCAGAGGCGGTATCAAGATGCTGGGTCTGTGCCAGAGTAAAGACTGTCTTTAAAAACATAGCCCTATCTTATTAAAACGATACGAATCCACTCGCCCCTTCCACTCCCACTTAGCCTCTCCGCAGGGGCTGATTACGAGATGAGGACAATGTACACAGACCGGGAGCCGTCTGTCACTGCATTTCAAGTGTAGAAGCTTGAAAGGCATCCCTTAAGTGGCCAAATAAATGGAGGAGGCTTCTAGTAGCTTCTAGGGAGAATGGGTTATTTCACTCCCGATTCCATGCTTTCCTATATAAAAACCAAAAGAACTGCGGACGCTGTAAATCAGGAACAAAAACAAAGTTGCTGGAAAAGCTCAGCAGGTCTGGCAGCATCTGAAGGAAAAAACAGAGTTAACGTTTCGGGTCCGGTGACCCTTCCTCAGAACTTGAGGAACTTTGTTTTTGTTCCATGCTTTCCTATGCTTGCTAGCTCTCTATCCGTTAAACTTTATCTTCTGTTCTCTGTGCTATCATCTTTGCCTTTCATTCTGTCCGTGTCTTCCATTCTACTCTCCTCCGGTTCCATTGTCCATTTCCAGTCACACCAAGTAACTCTGAAGGTATCTTCCCAGCATTAATCGCTTTTCATGCTCCCACCACAACCTGCACTTGTTTTTTTTGTCCACCAAAAAAAAGGATCATTCCTTCAAGTGCTTGACAGAAATGTGTTCTGAGCCAAAGAAGTTGAGGTATAACAGAACTAGGTTCTTTATTTTGAAAACGAATCTCTTCTAAGGAGGATCTTTGCAGAGGAGAATCAACAGGGTGTTGCCTGGGTTGGAGTGATTCAGTTCTGAAGAGGAAGTCAATAGGTTGGAACTGTTTTCCTTAGGCTGACTGGGATGGGGGGGAGGGGGTGGTTTTGGTAGTCTGATTGAGGTGTACGCAGTTATGAAAGGCATCAACAGGGTAGATGGGCAGAAACTTTTCCCATCGCTAAAGGAGTCAAGAACCAGGAGAACACTCTTAACGAAAGGAGCAGAAGATTTTGAGTGGATTTGAGAAAATATCTCTTCACCCAGAGGGTTGTGAGACTCACTGTCTAAAAAGATGGTAGAGGCAGGAACCTTTAAGAGCTACTTAGATGATCACTTGAAACAGTATAGCATACAAGTCTGTGGGCCAAGTGCTGGAAAGTGGGATTAGAATAGATAGATGTTTGATGACCACCTCAGACATGATGGGCCGAAGGGCCTTTTGTTGTGCTGTAAAAACTCTATTACTCTCTGACTCTAAGACATTCTGACAGTGGAGTTATTGAGGGCATGGCACTGATGTCAAATAGATTGAACTAATTGATCAGATTCAGTCAGAGTGTATTACCATTCACTAGCTAAGCAGTCAACAATAAGAGCCTTACAATTCAATTTAAAAGTGTTGCTAAGGCGAGCAAAGTTATCATAAAGTGGATTCTTTGAATATCCATGCTTTCTCACAGACCATAGTTGTGACAGAAATCGTTGTGTCTTGTGTGGAAAAACATCAATATAATTAGTTCTGGATTGTTCCAGCAAAGAGCAAGTAAACATACAAGAGGGCTGAAAATATCCTCTGTGCTCTAACCCTCTGTGGTTCAAAATAAAATCTTTAATGATGCATTTAATGAATCTGAGATTGCTACTTTCAGTTTAGGGTCAGCCAGTCATTGCCTGTTTCACATAACTGAAACTCTTCAGGGGACATTTAAACACTAACCAGAATATATATTTGCATAACACGGTCTCTCACAGTTAGAGTTTTGAATATTTAAACGGAAGGGAGAGTGTCTTCACTCTAATCGATTTAGTTGCAATAAAACAACTTTCAAACATACTCAGGAGTCCAGAATCCAAGTTTGATGCTACTCTGAATTTACAGCCCATACAATGTTAAACTGAAATGGCGTTTCTCCAGTTTCCAAAGTATCTCACCGCACCTCGATCCAAACCCTTGATTTTCCACAAATGTAGTATTGGTAAACAGTTTAAGTATTCAAGAAGACAGCAGCCTAAGGGGCACTTCACCCTGCAAAAAGCCATTGTCATGGGAGGGGATAAGGAACAAACTTACCTCATCCAGTCATAGAAGAAAAGGAGTCAATGGGAAGAAGACAATGAAATTCCCAAAGTATGTGCAGGACTCTTTCCTCAAGCAGTTCTACCAGTGCAGAGATAGCATTATACCTAATTAAGAGAGTTTCTAAATGGTTAGAATTGATGTATGGTGTCCCACAATGTTTAGTTTTAGGCAACTGCTATTCACAGCATAGAACAGTGATTTCACCATAAGCCCAGAGAGAGTGGAGATAATATTTACAGATAATGCTCTGCAGAAGATTAAAAGAAACTGCAGAGAATTACTGATAAGATAAGGGTAATGGGCTAAAAAGACAGATGGAGCTTAATATCAATGTGAAATATTTAATTTCGTTAAACAAAATAACAATATTTATATTCTGGATGGAAGTAGGCTTGTTATTACTCAGAAACACAAGGATTTTTGTAAGGCATTAAAGGCAGTGCCTTGCACAAACAAATGACAATCTCAAACAAAGGCATTTGGCATGCTTGCCTTTATTGGTCAGTGCATTGAGTATAAATGTTGGGAGGTCATGATGCAGCTGTACAGGACATTGGTTAGGCTACTTTTGGAATACTGTGTTCAATTCTGGTCTCCCTGCTATAGGAAGGATGTCGTGAAACTTGAAAGAGTTCAGAAAAGATTTACAAGGACGTTGCTAGGGTTGGAGGGATTAAGTTATAGGGAGAGGCTGAATAGGCTGGGGCTGTTTTCCCTGACTGTCGGAGGCAGAGGAATGACATTATAGAGGTTTATAAAATTATGAGGGGAATGGATAGGGTGAAAAGCCAAGGTCTTTTTCCCAGGCTGGGCAAGTCCAAAACTAGAGGGCATATGTTTAAGGTGAGAGGGGAAAGATTTAAAAGGGATCCAAGGGACAACTTTTTCACACAGAGGGTGGTGCGTTTATGGAATCATCTGCCAGAGAAAGTGGTGGAGGCTGGTACAATGACAACATTTAAAAGGAGTCTGGACGGGTATATGAATAGGAAGGGTTTAGAGGGTAATGGGCCAAATGCAGACAAATGGGACTAGAGTAATTTACGATATCTGGTCGGCATGGAAGAGTTGATCTGAAGGGTCTGTTTGCATGCTGTGCAGCTTTATCACTCTTTGACTCTAAAAGAGAACCTAACCATCATCCCCTGAAATCAATGGTGTTACCATCACTGAAACCCCTACTATCAACACCCTGGAGATTAGCTTGAACAGAAACTGAACTGGATTAGCTATATAATGTGACTCAAGAGCAGCTAGAGACTGTAAATTCTGTGATGAGTATCTGTCTTTCTGTCTCCTCAATGCCTGTGCAAGGCACAGGTGAGGAGTGGAGTATTTCCCACTTGCATGGATGGATGCAGCTCTAATGACATTCAAGAAGCTTAAGACTATCCAAGACAAAGCAGTCCCCTTGATTAGCACCCCATCCACAACCTTTAACATCCATTCCCTACATCAGTGATGCACAGTAGCAGCAGTGGATGCAATCTACATGATGGACTATAGCAAGGTTGCCTAGACAGCACCTTCCAAACCCATGACTAATTCCATCTAGAGGGACAAGTGCAGCAGAAGCATGGAAAACCTGTTCGTTCCCCTCCAAGCCACACACCATCGTCATTTGAACAAATACCACCGTTCCATTAACTCAACATTCTGGAATTCTGTCCCTACCTGCAGTGTGGGTGTTCTTACACTCAAGAACTACAATAGTTTAAGAAAGTGGCTCACTACTACCTTCAGGCTAATGAGGTGAAATATTAAATGCTGACCTAGCCAGTGATATCCAAGTTCCCTTGAATGAATTTTTAAAAGTTCGAGTCTGCAAAAATATTGATGATATTCTAGGTTTTATCACAAGATGTAGAATCTAAAACCAATGCCAAGCCTGCACATGACCTTAAAAATACCTCGGGTAAGTGTGCTCTGACTAGACTAGACTCCACACTGTAGAAAAGACATTGAGACTACAACACAACACATTCATGTTGCCTGAGTTTGAGCAAATACAATACAGAAAAGACTTGAACTGTGAGATTTGAAGAGTTAGGAGTGGAAAAGTGTTAGAAAGAAATGCCCTGCTTTGTGTGTGAATGAACCGTTCAGCTTTGCTGTTACCAGCACTGACCTCCAGTGCCACCACCACCATCTATTTCTCTCTAACCTTCTTCTCCAAGAGTAATGAGGAAGCAGGAAACTACTAACTCCTGTTCTCTCACCTTCAGTTCCATCCACATGGTAGTTCAGAGTGGAGGAAATCTCAGCTGACAAGCTTTTGTGTGGGAGGGACTAATGCAGATACAAAATGTTTTGAAGGAAGATCTTCATTGAGAAGTTTCCTCACTTCTTCACCCATTAACAGGTTAGCCTCATTTGGAGGATAGTCCTTCTGGTGGTACATTAAATATGGATTTGATACAACCTATCTTGTGCTATATAGCAACAACATCAAAGATCTGAGTTCAATGTTTATCATAGTATCAGTGTTGCTTCCGTCTTACAGTATGCTGGCATATTGCTTTATAAAGGATTAACATTAATTCTGTTTCTTTTCAACCTTCTGCTTTCTCTTGGCTCCTTTGAGTCAGTGCCACGGCACCAGTGCTGGCTCATACAATCAAATAACTTGAACAGAAGAAGCATTGTACCATAAGATTTGAAATACAGCAAAATCAGGATTATTCCACTGTGTGTTGGAAAAGAAGATGAGAGCAGTGATAAATTATGTAATTGCACAATACTGTATTCCTATTTTAATTAAAAAATGATAACAACACTTTTTGATTAATAAGGATTAATCTGAGGGACAATCACCTGCTCCAAAGCAATTCTAAGCTTGTTGTGAGCACAATAGGAATGTGTTAGAAGACTTGTGTATAATTAATGGGGCCAAATTAAACTTGTCATCTAGTACAGATTCTGCTTGCCAATAGATACCAAATGCATATTATTCCATCTGCTGTTAAAGGTGGCTATTAAATAGTCTTTGAAGCTACTAGCTCTTTATTCATCAGAAGCTTCCTGTTCAAGATGCTTTGAAGGAACTGGCAAAAAAGCAATAGACATGATCATTGTGATATGAACTAGTATTGACTCACCTTGTAAAGATATAACAGTTGTCACCTCTAGCAGAAACTAAAGAAAATGTCAGAGGTTGCACTGTCACACTCCTGTATCATTCATATGTAATCTATTCCCAAAAAAGGATGTCAGAGATAACAAGAACTGCAGATGCTGGAGCCAGAGCCAATACAATGTGGAGATGGAGGAACACAGCAGGCCAGGCAACATCAAAGGAGCAGAAGGTTGAAAAGAAACAGAATTAATGTTAATCCTTTATAAAGCAATATGCCAGCATACTGTAAGACGGAAGCAACACTGATACTATGATAAACATTGAACTCAGATCCTTGATATTGTTGCTATATAGCACAAGGCAGGTTGTATCCAACCCATATTTAATGTACCACCAGAATGACTACTCTCCAGATGAGGCTAACCTGTTAAAGTTGACGGTTCGGGTTGGGACCCTATTTCACAAATCTTTCCTGCTCCTCTGATGCTGCCTAGCCTGCTGTGTTCCCCCAGCTCCACACTGTATTGTCCCAAAAACGGATGTGATGTGAATGGGGGACTTGGCACCAGAAATCTCTGCACCTATTTTCGTTTCCAACATTTTGCCCTGAACGTGGCTGTTAAGATGGTTCAAATCAGGGGAAATCAACCCCAAACAGCTCAGAATTCCTTGCAGGTCAAAAGAAAGGGTTAAATAGACAACAAACTGGCTTGGCATTTAAACGTTCTGTAGAAGATTTTTCATGGATTTTCATGTGAATCGTTAGTTGAGGATAATTGAGAACAAGATCCACTGTGAGAATATTGGCCCAATCTCAGACCTGGTTTGCAGAAGAAGGAAGTGCCAAGGCTTTCGAGGAAGTTTGACAACATGTTGTATCGAATGTCAACTGAAGGTCAGGTCATGTTTTTTTTGATATCAACCAATAGCAGCTTGTAATTGGGTTGAGAGTTGCCACCAAATCTCCTTGCAGTGCTAAGTGTAAGGGCTTATCTAATCAACAATAGAGGAGGATAAACCACTCAACTCTTAACAAGAAGAGGCACTTGGCTTAACAAAAAGTTAAACCAACATGCCACTTTGTGTTGGTGAACCTAACTAGATTCTGTAGTTCATTGTGTATCATGGCAGACTTTGATTTTGATTGTGAAGTAAACTAACCAGTTTGTCTTATTCAAAATAACCAAGTCAAGCAACAAGCTGAAAATTGTTGAAACTACTTGAATCATAAAATATCAATCAAATCACATTTAATCCATGTTTTAATCTCAAAATTATACACATGCATGTACACAGAATAGGGAAGCAGATGTAGGCATGAAGTGTGCAAAGATGAGTAGGATTGTCTCGGGGATATATCCCTACTTGTGAAAATCATGCCTTTTAACACACTGAGTATTCCCAGGATATACTCCAAAGGTAAGCTTCGAAGGTCCATTCGTTACAAAAAATCATGTACAAATTTAGTTTGAACTTATAGATAATTAAAATTTGATAAACTAAAGTCATTAGCACAAAACTTAAACGGGAATATTCTTTTTCTAAAAAGTTCATGGTATGTTTATTTTTTAAATTAATAAATCTAGAATGAATTCCCAGAGCAAGTGGTAGAGGCAGGTACAATAACAGCAATTAAAAGACATCTGGACAGGTACATGGATAGGAAAGGTTTAGAGGAATGTGGGGCAAACGCAGGGAAATAGCACTAGTTTAGTTTGGAAAACCTGGTCGGCATGGAGGAGTTAGACTGAAGGGTCTGTTTCCATGCTGTATGACTCTGTGACTCTAAATCTGAATTATTACTTGTTAATTTGTATAACAACCTGAATTAAGGAGTTCATTGGTTAGCACTGTACTTGCTGTGTTTAATGTCGATTTACTTATGTTCATCTGTTATAGATATTACATTACATCTGTCTTAATTCCAGGACTGTGTAGTGCTTCATCTCTCCATTCCTCAGAGGGAACTTCCAGCAGGTCCATCGAGAAAATCCTGGGCAAATTTAGCAAAGATTTTCAATGTCATCACATGTTGAAGCACCTGTACAATGGAGCCAGGATAACTGTGCAAATGCCCCCTCAGGTAGAGAGCCATTGGGTCTCTACAAAGTGAGTAAACAACAGTCAACTCCACTGATGTGAATAACTGTTAAGCAGATAATTCTGTTAAGATGATTTCCAATTTATAGCTGTTCAATTCCCAGACAAGGCACAAGAAAATGTTAATCCAGAACTGATTTGTTCTATCAATACTTGTCGTATTATTGCCTCTCTGAGATAACTTCTCTTATTCCTCCTTTGCTGCATATATGCCATTCCTGATATCCTCCTCCTTGTATCCATAGTGGTTTCAAATTAAGGCACATTTCACTACTTCAATCTTTTTGTTCTTTCATTCACATGACCTCTAAACTACTAAACTTTTCCTCTTAGAATCTTTTTTTTAAAACATTCTATCATTTACTTGCTATTTCCTGATCTAGAACGTTGTGGGAAGTTAGGAAAGAGATTGCTGGGCCCCTTGCTGAAATATTTGTATCATTGACAGCGATGAGTGAGGTGCTGGAAGACTAGAGGGTAATGTGGTGCTATTGTTTAAGTAAAGTGGTAAGGAAATTGCAGGGAACTATCAATTGGAGAGCTTTATGTCAGTGGTGGGTAAGTTGTTGGAGGGAATTCTGAGGGACAGGATTTACATGCATTTGGAAAAGCAAGGACTGATTAGAATTAGTCAATATGGCTTTGTACATGGGAAATCATGTCTCACGAACTTGATGCAGTCTTTTGAAGAGGTAACAAAAGATCAATGAAAGCAGAGTGGTCAACATTGTCTATATGGACTTCAGCAAGGCATTCAACAAAATTCCGCATGGTAGACTGGTTAGTAAGGTTACAGCACATGGAATCCAGGGGAAGCTAGCCATTTGATACAAAATAAGCTTGAAGGTAGGACACAGAGGGTGCTGGTAGAGGGTTACTTTTTGAACTGGAGGCCTGTGACCAGCGGTGTGCCACAAGGATCAGTGTTGGGTCCACTGCTTTTCATCATTTAAAGAAGTAATTTGGATGTTGTGGTTGTGCAGGATATTGGTACGGCCACTTCTAGAATACTGAGTTCAATTCTGGTCTCCCTGCTATAGAAAAGATGCTGTTAAACTTGAAATTGTTCAGAAAAGATTTACAAGGATGTTGCTGGCATTGGAGGGTTTGAGCTATGGGGACAGGTTAAATAGGCTGGGTTTCTTTTTCCCTGCAGTATCAGAGGCTATGGGGTGAGCTTGCAGAGGTTTATAAAATCATGAGGGGCATGGATAGGGTGAATAGCCAAGGTCTTTTTCCCAGAGTAGGGAAGTCCAAAACTAGAGGGTATAGGTTCAAAGTGAGAGGGTAAAGATTTAAGAGGGGCCTGAGGGACAACTTTTTCATGCACAGAGTAGTGCACGTATGGAACGAGTTGCCAGAGGAAGTGGTGGAGGCTGGTACAATTACAATATTAAAAAGGCATCTAGTTTGGTATATAATAGGAAAGGTTTGGAGGGATATGGGCCAAATGCAGCCAAATGGGGCTAGATCAGTTTAAGATACCTGGTTGGCAAGAACAAGTTGGATTGAAGAGTCTGTTTCGGTGCAGTAAAACCCTATGACTACTCAGCTTTCTCACCTATGGCCTCCATCTCTTATAGTGAGATTAGAACTCAATCCTCAGGATATTAACCTTGCGCTCTGGGTTACTGGTCCAGTAATATTATCGCTATGCTTCTGATTATGTTGTATCAACAATTTATTTATCAATGTCAGTCAAATACTTTGAAAAGAAGCAACTGTTAGTTATTATTGTCAGTGGAATGTTGTATCTCCAGCTAAGGAGGAACAAGAGAAGTAAATTCAGATAAGCAATAATAATACTGGAAGTATTGATAAGATAGAGCAATTCCCAATTCTAATTACTGCCCATGGTTTAACTGTCCTGTATAAAATTTTTCTTTACCATGTTTTACCAGAAGCAAAGATGGAGAGAGAAATTGGAAATCAACCTGTTAATTGTTCATATCGTAACATTACAATCAGTATCTTCCATCTTTTCAATATCCCATAGCATGTTTAGCTAGCAATTAAATCTAAGAAATTGCACAACCACATCTCTAATACATAAATCAGAGACACATCAGTAAGTAAATGAAGTGCAAAAGTAGGCTATTTATTTTAGCTGGATATCATACAACTAGAAATGCCAACTAGGATCAGAAAAAAAAGTGTTCAAAACTTAGAATTGAATTTGTTAACATATCTAAAGGTACAGCTTAATTTCAAATTAAGTTTAGTGCAGATGAGTGTGAGATGTTTTAGTAAATTAGTATTGTTATTAGACCTGACTCTAAACATACCCAACCAAAGCAAAAATAGCGTATGGAGCAATATAACAAAATAGTCAAATATTTTGAAGAAAGTTATGATCAAGCTGCACAGTGCTCTTTGGCCAGAACAGCCTTACTTTGGTCATCAAGACACAATTTCTAGCGCATTACAGTGTAAAGGGCCTGATTTATGAGGAAGGACTGAAGTGACTGGGCTTTGCAACTAGTCAGAGAAGTGATCTTACAGGCAGGTGCATAAAATCATTAAGGGAGTGGCAAAAATGAATCCAGAATGCTACTTTAAATTCACTTGTTGAATAAGAAGTCCCAGACTCAAACTAGTAAATGTAATGTTAGGACTATCTTCGAGATATTTTTAAAAGAAAGACTTAAGTGCAGAATCAATTCAAAGATGGAATTGTAAATGGCATAACATTGGAATAATTTATAGAACAGTAGAGAGCTGTAGAATGGATGAATTACATATGGCCAAATGATCTTTGCCACTTATAATGATTGTTATTTGTAAATATCCTACAGATAGCAAACTTCAACACATTCTTTTGTTCAGTTGATGCACTCATCAGTAGTCACTAAATGTTTTTGTTCGGCTGGGGTTAGTGAGGTTCATGCTCTGAAGTAGAATGTTTTCCTATATTCTGTACAGTAATGGTGTTAGTTACTGTAGGGTCAGGTGTAATATAGATCACACTCATATTAATGTCATAATTTTACTCTCAGCAACTGAAGGCACAGTTGCCAATGTCCAGGCAACTGAAGTCCGGGATATGCAAGAGACTACAACTGGAGGAGTTCTCAAACAGTAGTAGGGCTGGAGAAGATTACAAAAATTTGGAGGACGTCTTGAGGCCATGATGGGATTTGAAAATAAGGATGAGAACTTTAAATGAAGGTGTCGCCAAGTGTGAACCCAATATAAGGTTTTTTAAGAGTAGTGAAAGGGAGGCAACCAAGCAGGGTGTTGGAATAGTCAAGTCTAAAGGTAACCAAGGCAGGCATAAGGATTTCAGCAGCAGATAAATGAGACAATAACAGATTTGTATGTTGCAACAGAGGTGGAAGTAGACAGTCCTGGTGATGGGTTGGGTATATATGTCAGAAGCAATTCACAGTCAATAATGACACAAATGTTCTGGTTCCACCTGTTTGCCAAGGAGAGGAATAGCAACAGTTTACTTCTGTCAATGATAATTTATTATTTAAGTGTATGAACTGTTTACTGTTCTAGGGCAAAAATATAGATGCTGAAAACTGTGTTCTCTTGATCATTGGTGTGACAGAAGTACAAAGCTTCTTTTATCTACACTGCTCTGGCGGTGTTCCTTAGTTACTTCTTCTTTCCATCGTTGTCTCTCAAATAGGAGAACATCGTTTTATACTGAGTCAGCTCCTGACTCATTGTTGATGGAACTGATTTCAAAAAGAGGGACAAACACACTTGGATCTCTGTCACAAGCATCTCAAAATAACCAGTTAATGAAATGTGAAGAAATAGGAATAGCTTTTATTCCCAACCTCTTGACTGATGTAGATAGACAGTGCAGATGTAGGCTTTAAGAGAAAGAAAATAGGATTTTGTTTCTTAAAGATCATGCTGAAATGTCTATTTTTCAAACAACTTTCAAACTTTGTAAATTATGCTCAAGCCAAGTGCTATTACCTCACTGATTGTGAAGCTAATTATCTTCTCTCTGCAGTTGCGAAGTGAGACCAGGCCCTGAGTTCATTACCAGATCCTACAGATTTTACTCCAATAACACATTCAAGGCTTATCAGTTTCATTATGGAGACAATCATTGCACACACCCCACCTACACCTTCGTGATCAAAGGGAAACTCCGATTGCGCCAAGCTTCTTGGATCATTCGAGGAGGAACCGAGGCTGATTACCACCTTCACAGGGTGCGGATCGTCTGTCACAACAAGGTGACAGCTGAGGAGATGAGCCTGAAGCTGAACAGGTCGTGCCCGGGGTTCATACCAGGAGAGAAGGTGTGGGAGCCGAACGTGAGCTACAACCTGTGGAGCGATGATAACGGGTGCAACTGTTTCCAGGCTCTGAACTTTGCCATGCACGAACTGCAGCTCCTCAGGGTCGAGAAACAGCACCTACACCACAATCCTGAGCATGTGGTGCAAGAGCTCTTTCTGGGGGATATCCACACAGATTGGTCCCAGAGAATGTATTACAGACCCTCCAGCTATCAACCTCCACTACAGAATGCCAAGGTAACTCTAATTTCCTGACTTGTATTATAGAAATCTAGGTGAAGTTCTTGTTACCCATAAATCCACAGAGATTCCTCTGTATGTAACTTTATCATTTATTTGTTACTTACGTTTTGAGCATTAGCACCAGGGGAAACATGGCAGCCAATAGCAAGACATTAACTCATGGTAGCGTATAGTTTGTGTCTGCCACTGTTATTGGATAATATCATTGAACACCTTACCTTAAATTATCCTGAGTTCAAAGTCACTTTAAGTTAATAATCTGGATCCAAGTTATTTTTATTGAAGGTTTTTCTTAATTAATTACTATTTATGACATTAAACACTTGAAGAGAAAAAATACAGAGTTGTGGAGAAAGAGCATTAATTGGGATTAATTGGTATAGCTCTCACTGGGTCAGCACGAGCACAATGGGCCTCATGGCCTCCTGTTCTGTAATCTTCTTTGATTCAATCGTCTTACTTTTTTTTATTCACTTCTTCAAACACTCCATGTTAGGTCATGCTGTTAGCTTAAAGCAATCTTTTTGATTTCAAACCACTACTGAGTAGAAATTTGGAGAAATGGAGGTTGCAAGCTTTTTGCCGAAAGTCAAAACTGAACAGAACTCAGCAGTAGGGTAACAGATGGCAGGAGTTGTACAGCCAAGTTTCAGGATAATGGCTTGAAAGTTGTTCAATGAATTGAAGCCCAGTAATTACACAAGATATAGAGCAAATTAAAAAATTGCTCTTGGAAATACCTGGTATTTTACAACATCCTTAAAGTTGTGCCAATAAGTATGAGTCACCTCATCACCCAATATATGCATCCCATGCTCCCACTTGTTCAATCTGCTGAATACAAGTCAGTTTTCTATTTGGCTTGGGAACTTGTCAATGTCTAACTATATCTATGTCATCCTGCATTATGATATTTTATAATGAATACATACTCCTCTTTTTTTCACCAACTTCAACACTCTCATCATCTTTAAACCACACACTTCATTTCCTTATCTACCGTCATCTAAAAAAATATCTGCTTAAACATTTCCTTACATGGATTGTAAAACCATAATTATGCATTATCTGTTGCTTGAAAACATGGCAGCTTAAGAATCATGTTGGGAAAAGCAAAAGTTTAAATTTACTCATGATTAAAACAAAACCAAGCAATGTTAATCTAGCAGATTCCCTAATAAATAATGTCAGTAAAATCCGAAAGAACTGCAGGTGTTGTAAATCAGAAACAAAAACAGAAATTACTGGAAAAGCTCAGCAGGTCTGGCAGCATCTGTGGAGAGAAATCAGAGTTAACATTTCGGGTCCTGTGACCCATCCTCTGAACTGAGTTACCAGACCCAAAATGTTAACTCTGATTTCTCTACGCAGATGTTGCCAGACCTGCTGAGCTTTCCCAGCAATTTCTAAATAATATCAGTAATTCAACGTCTGATCTGAATGTCATTTTTATATTGCTTTCTTACATTCTCAAATTTATTGTCCATTAACTTGAATGGCAGCAAAGAATTTTAGCAAATTGCCATTAAAAGCAATCAGTGTCTGCAAGGATCAGTGCAACAATCAGACTTGGTACTCATTCAGCTGGAGAACTATAAATAGACAGCAAGAAAGATAATCAATTTTTCATAAAATATCATGTAGAAACCCTCAATATGTAATAATAGTTTATCCTTTTGACCCAGATACAGAAAACTAAAATCATGAGGTGCGTTTACATTTGATTTCCATAATGTCTCGTTTTTATTTTTTCTATGTCCTAATTAAAGACATATATAATGTCATTATAATGTCCTAATGTCTCTTCAATTAATATATTCCAACATAAGTATGGCAAAGATGCTTACAGGTAAATTTCTAAAGGAATTCTTTGTCGAACCCTAAGTATTCCTATGAGGATCCATTCCCAGTAATTAACTAACATGCATTTCCCCATCATATTGAAAGAACAATGGGATGTCTCAACGGGTCAAGGAACAAATACACCATGTAATGTGTTTACAAATCTTATGAAATAGAAAAGCCCAGATTCTATGACACATGCTGAATTAAATCTGAGCAACGGTTGGAATAAGAGAACTATCATTTACCTTCCAGGTTCAGAAGAAAATAAATGGGAAAATAATGCAGGTTTCTGCTTGTGTTTATTACTGACTCACCATTGCTTGCAAATTGGATTCAGTTTGAGGACAAGATCAGCCTTGGTGGCAAATTCTATGATCTATCATCTTTTGCATCTTGAAAGATGCTTCAAAGAAAAGCAAATAATCTGTAGAGGAGTTTGAGCTAAGAAAACCTTTTGTTTAGACTGGTTATGGCTACATCAATGAATGGAAGCAACATATCTTGGTTAAATCTCTCCTCGGGGCACTTAACAACATCATCCAGGCATTCATAATAAAACATCACTTGATTCATACAGCTTCTTCCTTCAGGAAACATTATCTCAATGTCCATCTGACCTACGATTTCAAGGCAGAAATATGAGTTTTTCCCTAGACAAACTGCAGAAAGTTAAGCACACTGTATGAATTTACTGGTCAACAAGACACACAAGGAAGGGCCCTGAAGAGATTCCTCATCCAGGGTATCATGCCTTTGATGTAGTTGGCCTGTCTTTTTACTGAACTGCATAAACAATTGCATAAACTGCATAAACTTTAAGACCACCATGCACTTCATTTATTTGATATCAAAACACATTAATGTTTTCAATACAGCCCTTCCAGCATCTGTCTGACTGTCAACAGCAGGTCGAAAGAGGTACTGTTTGAGAATGGATAAACAATGAACATAAATACTGAACACAAGGACATTGAGAGTAGGATCAGGAATTGGGCATCTAGCCCCTGAGCCTGCTGCAACATTCAGCTAGATCTTCAACCCCAGCATCATTTTCCAGCACTACTCCACATCTTTTGGTGTCTTTACTATTCAGAAGACTATTGATTTGTGTCTTGAACATAATCAATGACCTCCAAAGTCTCTTGATATTCAGGCTTGCAAAGATTCTGTCAGGGAAGAAATTCCTCCTCATCTCATTGCTAAATTGCACACCCCTCATTCTGAGTCTGTGTTCCTTCGTTCAGGAGCAGGACCGGCCAGGAGCAACATGTTTCCTACACGGACACTGTTGAGCCCTGTAAGATGTTTGTACTCTTCAATGAGATGACCTCACATTCTTCTAAATTCTTATTGCTCCTCCTGTCATCTCCTGTCCTCTCCCCTCCTCAATGCTGACTGCGGGTGAAGGAAGCTCATGTGGAACATAAGCACTATCACAGACCTGTTGGGACAAATAGTCTGAATACAATGTATTTAGTTCAGTTCCTCAACATAACCAGATATTGATTGATATCAAACACAGAAAATCAAATGAAGCATTCTGAAATTGAAGCACAAAATGTTAATCCACAATTAATGACATTGCTAATTGCCCAGTGGGGCTGATATCAGAAGCACTCTCCATGATCACACCAAAATACTTTGAACAATGATCTTGTGCAAATGGGTGCAGGAAGCTCTTAGTGACGAATTTAAATGATTTGAAGAAATTAACTGACAGCAACTTATATTCATCCAGCACCTTAAACATAGTTAAATGTCCCAAGAAGCTTCGCAGGATCACATTAAAACAAAGTATGAGACTGAGTCACGTAAGGAGATATGAGGTCAGATGACCAGATGCTTGGTCAAAAAAATGAGGTTTAAGGAGTGTCTTAAAGGAGGAAAGAGAGGCAGAGAGATGTAGGGAGGGAATTAGAGAGGCTTGGGCTGAAGGAATGGCCAACAACAGTGGAAATATTAAAATTGGGATTGCAAAAGAGGCCAGAATTAGAGGAGTTCAGTTATTTCAGAGGGTTGCGAGAGTGGAGGAGATCACAAAGATGGGGTGGAGTGAGGACATGGAGAGATTTAAATGTAAGGCTGAGGATTGTAAAACCAAGAAGTTGCTCAGCTGGGAAGCAATGTAGGTCAGAGCACATAGGGTTGATAGGGAAACAGGACCTGGCAAATGTTTAAGAGGACAAGCATACTTTATTCCTTGCTATAATTTTAATTTAAAATTGTTGAACATAACCATTTGCACCACAGTGCCAAGAGATTGTTCTTTTCATAGAAAGGGTTTAAGAAAAATCGTTGTTGTCACAGAATATTAATCCGAAAAACTCACCAAATTATAACTTGATTTCATAATGGCTTGATGTAGCAATGAGCAATGCCACAGATGGAGTCAAAAAATATGCACTGCTCATTCTGAAATCTTGCATATGCTGAGTTCTTAACCTCAACAAGACCATCAGGGAAATTAACATACGCTGTTGCAGCTAGTTTGAAGAGTGCCATAGACCTGGGAAGGTGCATCTGTGCATTTATTCACTTGTTGAGTGGTTTGCAGTTTAAGAACTGCAATTGAGGTGAAAAATCCTTTTTTTCAAAACATGAGTGGAATGGAAATTAATCAATGGAACTATAGACTTAGAGCTAGCAGCCACTTTGGCAGAGCTCCCGGACAGCAACGCTGAAATAGTACCAAATGGGACATGAAACAGAATATCTCATAGTTGCCGGGTACTAGACAAAAGGTTGAAATGAGACACCAAGGTTTCAGGAAAGGAGGTGTTTTCTACACTGCAAATAGGCATACCACAAAGATACCGCCAGCAATCATTCTGCATGAGATTTGCACAAAGACCATCTCCATAGCAACCTGGTTTCCATCTGTAGCAAAGAAATGCATGTGGTGCAGATGGTCTGCTCTGACTGAGAAGCATCGAGCTTCATACAGAACGAAAAGCTGCAGGCAGAAGTGAGTCAAGCTAATGAAAGCAATAAATCTCAGGTCTACTCGATGCATAATAGCAGCTTCATGTAGCTAGCTCATTCTTCTCACTTCAAAGAGGATTCTTGAATTTGCTTATTACATGTATCATTTTTTGGTAAGTCACTCAGTGAGAAATATACAGGCATTTTGCCTTTCTATTATCTACTAT